TTCAGCCTGCGCATTCGATGGGTGCAGAAGTGGGGAAAAAGTATGCACGCGAATATGCGCCCATATATATAAGGCTACAAAGGTATAGGCGTATATATCCACATGTATATAAACGTACGTAGACACACGTAGCCCTCCCGCCTCCAATCCGCCGCGAAATCGCCAACTAGCCAAGTGGCGAACTGGGAAACCGGCAACCCCCAAGGAACGAAGAGAATAATGACTAAAGAGACCTACATGGAGGACAGAAAGATGGCGGAACCGATGGGCAACATCCTGGTGGAGGAAACGGAGAAGCTCGTAGACACATACCGCTTCGACAGCGCGTTAGGAGAAGGCCCCAAGAAGTCACAGTCAAGTCAGAACAAAGATGGAAAGCACGGAATGGCTTTCCACAAATCGCTAGCTGTGGTCAACGTAGCCGCAGGGTTGGATGGATGTGATGATCAGTTACTACCCGCAAGTTTCAGAGCGCTAGAAGCGGACTTGAATTTACACCCGTCCTTATTAGGGTATATCACCCTTGCGCAAACATTAATGTTAAGTCTTTTCAGCCCCATCTGGGGATTCCTCTCCGATAAGTATTCACGAAAGTGGATGCTCGTGTTTGGTACAGCCCTCTGGGGAGTTGCAACGATATTGCTAGCAAACATAAATGACTTCGCGCAGATTATAATTTTTAGAGCAATAAATGGATTGGCCTTAGGTAGTATAGGTCCCATATCACAGAGTATACTAGCCGATGCAGCGAAGAATGAATCGCTTGGTTTGTCCTTCGGATTGGTACAGCTGTCTTCCAGTGTGGGCAGATTAATCGGAGGAGTAGTAACCACAACAGTGGCGTTAAAATATTTTGGAGGCATTAGAGGATGGAGATTATGCTTCATCATTGTAGGTATGTTGAGCATTCTGCTAAGTATCATAGTGGCCCTCTTTGTCGACGACGCTCCAAGACAGGTTCGGAAAAAGAAGAAGATGGAGTATCTAGACGGAGACGACATAGATGCAGGATCCAAGAATGTTAGAATAGTGACTCAATACACGCAGTCCTATCTGTTGTATCAGAACATTGTCGAATTACTTCGAGACAGTTTGTCCAAAAAGAGTATCATCATCATCCTGTTGGAAGGATTCACAGGAACCATTCCTTGGCTAGCTTTAAGTTTCAACACCATGTTTTTTCAATACTGCGGATTGAGTGATCTACAAGCAGCTATCATAACAGGGTTCCTACTTATCGGTTCTGCATTAGGTGGAGTTATAGGTGGCCACTTTGGAGACATAATGCACGACATATCAAACAAGCATGGAAGACCCTTCCTTGGTCAGCTAGCCATGTTTGGGAGAGTACCTCTGGTCATCTTAACCTATTTGGTAATCCCACAAAGAAAGGAAAGCTTCGAATTGTTTGCCCTTTCTTGTTTTTTTCTTGGATTATCCTCCATCGCCGGTGTTGCCGTAAATAGGCCAATCGTATCGGATATCATCAGGCCCGATTACAGAGGCACTGTCTTTTCCCTAACGATAGCTATAGAGGGAGTGGGGGCTTCTCTCATTGGAGCTCCTCTGTTTGGTTATCTGGCCGAGAAGGTCTTTAAATACCAGAACAATAACTTGCTCATTTCAGAGATGCCGGATGAATTGCGAAGGAACAACGCGGAAGCCCTTTCGAAAACGCTGCTCTACCTGACCCTGGTCCCCTGGCTGCTCTCCTTCGTTTTTTATAGCCTCCTGCATTTTACCTATGGCAAGGAGTACCACCAGATGAACGAGATCATTGAGAGCGAATACAAGTACGACGACGAGGACGAGGAGACCGTTGCGGAGAAGGTGCAAACGTAGGGGAGAGGCGGTGAAGCGGCGATGTGGCGGTGAAGTAGTGCCGAAGTTATCCTACCTCTTCCACTATGTTTGAATTTTTTTCCCTTTTTTTTGTACTATACCCCCCAGGATCATTCTTTCTTTTTCTTTTTCCATTCTCCCACCTCGCATCTTCGCAACTATGCATTGCAACTATACATTGCAAGGATACATTGCAAGGATACATTGCATATATTTTTTCATTTCCCTTTGTTTTTGTTACGTCTAATTTGGGGCCTCCCTACGTGGACCATCACCCCCTCTTGTTAATCCATTTCGCTGTGCCTTATTTATTTATTATTTTTTTTCTTTTCACCTAGTTACGTGTTCCCCTGTTATGACATTATGTGCTCATGTCCTACGTCGCCATGTGTGTAGGTCGCTGTCTCGGTGGGAGGGGACAGTTTTCGGAGTTGCCACCCCCCCGTGACGCGGTTTCCCACGACGTGTGAAAATATATATTTTTTTTATGGAAAGTTTTTATCAATCTCTTTTTCAAGACAATCCTGCAGTGGAGCCATCGTAACCGTGTAGGAAGTTACCCATTTTGTTATCTCCAATAGGGTAAAAATAAAATTAAGTCTTTCCCTTTTTGGTGTCGTCCCACTTGCTGAGGGGGAATACTGGCTGGCCACGGCTTCATCCCGATTGGCTACCTCATCACACTGGTTCGCACGTCCCCGTGTATCGTTTTTAAGGTGGATCGGTTCCGTTGCAAAAGAGGAGCTTCCCCCCATCCCCGTTGGGCATTTCTTCTAAAAAGTGAAGTAACCTTATGTTGGGGCGTGGGACACTTTGCCCTATGGAATATCACGGGCATATAGCTCTCACGTGGAAGAGAAAAAATTCCTTACAAGTTCCATAAGCATAGATGTATAAAAAAAGCACTAGTTGTTGATGAATTTCTCTTGTGTTGTGTTTTTTTTTTCTCCCCACTTTTGTAGGGTCCATGTAGTTTTCGCCGCCCTCACGAAATAATTCGACTCAATTTTGGCCGACAGTAGGGCCCCACTCCGTAGCTGTGCATTTCGATTAAACGGAGGCATATTTATAAGCGGCTTTTCTCCCCACGGATGCCACGCCCACAGGTGCATGCTAAAGACGACCTGACATGGATCGACCGCTTCGGTTTCTCACCCCTCCCCTACCTACATTTCAAACATAAGAAAGAGTGTCTATCGCTTCGACATGAGCCTTCTGTGCGACCCTGACGCGTTTCACCTCTTTGTAGAGGATGACCTGGAATCTTTCTTCAGCACCTTCGAGAAGGTGAGGCTGCAAGAAGGAAGCGTCCGTGATGGTGTCCATACCCCGGGGGGCCCAACTTCATACCGCACGGTGTTGTAACCCCATGTGGATACCTCTAATAGACTCTTCCCACTCTGCTTCTATTCGGCCGCTTCTATCTCCCCTTCTTCGACGAACTGCTAATCTCTTCTTTCCCCCGTAAACAGGAACGCCAATCCACCAGCCACATAGTCATACTAACGGATCAGGCCACGTTTCTAAAGGAACGACCAACTCTCTTGTATACTTTAAAATTGTTATTACGTCACCCCGGGGAGGATTCAAAAGGGAGTTTGTCACCCCAAGGAGGTCTCTACACCCTACAGGGAAATTTACAAAATTGGCAACATGCAGACAGTCCTACTTCAAATCTTGAGAAGACCAAATGGAGGAGCCGGTTGATCTTTCCCCGTAGCGACGATGAGGACCCCCTGGGTGAGAAACGTACGCATTCCTCCCACGATAAAAGTACTAATATGAATGGGAGGGAAAATTATGAACAGGTCAGGCAGGAAATTAGAAGTGGTGACAAGACTGATGATAAATCCTCACATCAGATGGTTCTTTTCGAGGCCAAGCAGGGGACACACCTCCTTCGAGGCAATGACTCAACAGAGATCCAAGAAATTTTTGAAAAATATGAGCAGTCCCTCGTGGGGAAAGCTATCCCAACCACTCAGCCCTTTACACACCGAATTGAAGACGTCCTAGTGATCATTTCGAATGTACAAAGGTGGGATGACAAAGTGGAGGTTGGTCAGCAGTTAATAGACCTCTTTGATAGAGACGCCACGTTGAGAGAAGCCCAGATTATCTTTTTTGCCAGTGAGGATATTCTAGAAAGCGTTTATTACATGCGCCGGGTCATGTCCAAAGGTACAATGGAGGCTCTTCATGAAGGGATTCACCTCCACGAAGGCAGAATTAAGACCACCTTCAAGTGAGTGAAATTTAAGTAAACGTAGACCCCTTTCTCCCCCATTATGTTAACTTTTCCTACACATTCTCCACCTTGCAGGGCTGAAGGTGCACCTGTTTCCGACCAGCGGGCGCGCCCTCGTTGAAGTGATGGGAGACGCGGCGGGATCGTTCCGAGGTTGGCACAGAGGAGAACAGACCTGCGATGCAGTTAAAGGTGATCGTTATGATGAGACGGTTCGTACCGAGCAGCAAGACCTTTTCCACACCGATTACCAAAATGCAATTTTCACTCCAATCGTAACGCATGTCCGCACGGGACTCCTAACATCGCTGACGGAGGAAGACTACAAGGGGATCTTTACCCAGACGTTAAAACTAGCCATCCTGAATGATCCCAAACTTTTCTCCAACATAAAAAGAACTGACTTGAACCAGTTTAAGAAAAGGATAAAATATTTTCTCCGAAAATTGTTGAGAAATAGTTGCAAGATAAGTAGGAGAGGAAAAAGGGACAGAAAAATTATGAACATCTTCAGGTTCGGAACTACCATTGGAAATGCAATAAAAAATGTCAAAGGAAGAAACCCCCTAAACGGTGTCTTAACTAATGAGGAAGTGTTTCTCTCTTATGGCATTTACTACGAACTGAGGATTTTGTACGAGGTGGATGCAGTGGATCTTCTCCTCCTCGTAGAGGTAACAGAAATTATGATGAAATACAGAATGAAATATAAGTTAAGCAATCATTATTTGAACTACTACACACATGAGATTATTCATCATCTTACGAAGGGACATCCTTCCGCGACGAATAGCATTTTATTAGTTCACCTCACTGGAATAGGAGAGGTGCACCCCGATGTGATGATTAATGTACCATTATGCGTCGTTTGTAGGATTCTCTGTCCCATGATATCCTTCCCGCGGCGAAATATGCACTTATCACTGAAGGGGACTGAATCCAACACAAAATGCGGACCATTTGTGCATATCGGACATGTGGGAAACAAATCGGAAGCCATTCGAGTTATTTACGTCGCCTGCATGAGCAGAGAAAACATCTGCATCAGGAATGTAACCGCATGTCTTGATGTCATCGTTTTTGTGAAAATATTAAGGGAGCTAAATTTTGACATCAGATTCATCAAAAAAGGGAACACCAATACTCATCCAGAGGACCTCTCACCTAAAGGAAACCTCCTACATATAAAGGGAAACATACAGAGGAGCGTCTTCCTATTTAAACGGTTTACTTACCAGAGGGGAACCACCCTCCATGTGTACAACTGTGGGACGGTGTGTCGTTTCATTCTTCCCCTTCTTTGCCTCTACATCTGCAAACAGAATTTGAATGCAAAAAGGAGAAAAAAAAGGGTTCTAAAATGGGTTCTATTGAAAGGAAGCAAACAAATGGAAACGACTCGAATTATCAGCCCCCTCGTGCAAGTCCTACGTCAAACATTCAAGTGTGTAAATATAGAGTATACGAAAAAGGAAAATTATCTGCCCATATGTATTAGTGTGAAGGAAGGAGCCAACCTTGAGGACAGACTATTATGCACGGAATACGTCCGAATTGATAATTACCACTCAAGTCAGTTCGTGTCGTCCATGCTGCTTCTGTCCGCATTCTCGGACACGGACACGTGCATCGGGTTGAGCTTCAAGAGGGTTGCCGCGTCAGGAAAGGGAGGAAGGAGAAGTGAAAGAAGAAGTGGAAGCGCAAACAGAAGCAGCAGAGGAAGCATAAATCGATGTCATGGAAGGAAGGAAACCCCTAGGCATAGAGAACCGCAGGGGATAATTCCCCCCCTTCCAAATCGGACCATGTCCTGCGCCGCAGCTCCCCCGTCGTGTGCACCCTCTCACCACAGACTGCTTCCCTCCCTTTCGACAAAGCGAAACGCGACGACTGCACATCGTACCCAACGAAGGCAACTCACCATCGACGACGGCACGAAGGATTCTCCACCTTATGCAGCAACGAAAGGAGAAGCCACCACGCACCAGTTCAGTACTACGTCAAAATCGTATATCGATCTGACCATCCGTGTGATGAAATTATGGGGAGTGCATGTTGAAATGAAAAACTTCTGCTATTTTGTCAGAAAGGGAGGTAAGTCCCCCTCCTATGGCAGAAGGCGAAGCATAGTGGCCCTCCGAGAAAGTCTTCTTATCAGCGTTAAGCGGTTCATTTGTGCGGTGAAGGGCTTGAGCCGCGGACGTCTCTCCCCCACAGGTGGAACCAAACGGGGTAGCACCACACACATCCAAAAACAAGAGGAAGAATCTGTTAACATCCCAGGGAGGCTACCTGTAGATGTAGAAGGAGACGAACACGACTTGGAGCTCCCTAGGTTAAGTAGGACCCCCATGGACTCTGCTAACTTCACGCCTTCCTATGGAGTGCAAAACGATTTGGGACTGCTCATCTACTTCATCATTGGCTGTCTCATCAGGGGTGAGAACTGCGCCATCGATGTAGGACTCCGTCTAGACGGGATCGTCCTGTACCCCGCTGAGGGCACCGGGGTGAGCAGTGAAATGAGCGCAGAAAGCGGAGAAAGCGGAGAAAGCGGACGAATCGAGCAAAGCGAACCTATCTCGCATGAATCTCAAGGCTCCCGCGATGTTCCTGGCTTGTGCTCCCTTCGATGGCACAGAATCAAGGCGGTAAGGCGCCAGGCGAACATCCCCAATTATTCCCTCCTGAATGTGCTGCTCCTCCTTGGGGTCGACATATACGTCGAAGGAGGGGGAAGCCATAGAAGGAGTAGAAGCGGAAAAACGAGCGAATGGAGAAAACGGAGCAGAAAACTTTATCTGCTCACCTCGAAAAGGATGAGCATTTGGCAAGAGTGGATAAGGGGGCTTCTTCTCCGGAGAGCAACTTCCAGACGGAGAAAGAAGGACCCGAGGGGGAGAGTCAAGAAAGCCAAGTGGGAGGTGTTCCAGAATGTGACCCTGAAAATGAAGCTTCTTTCAAATAAGCTGCTCCTCAAAGTGGTAGTAGATGTTGAAAATTTCTCCGATGATTTCTTCTCCCTGAGTGTCCTCTTCTGTTACTATCTCTTTCTTCACCCAATGGAATGCCTCTCCTTTAGGATAAAAAATGTCCGAAATCAGAACATCAAGGAGTCGGTTCGTGTGTATAACTCGGTAATCATATTGAAGTTGTTTTTTCAAAACATCCTCTGCATTTTCTGCGATAGGAATAGTGTCTACATCAGTCGCATGGCTCACCCCGTAGAGAACTGCCTATTCTATAGGATGTCAGAAAAGGGGGAAATCCCCCAAGGGGAGGCTCCTTCTGCGGCAGCTTCACCAACTGCTTCCCAAATTGAAAACAGCTCAAAGTATGTAACGAACGAAAAGGGGGAAGTATACCTATATGTAGACACCCAAAGGGACCATCGAGTCATTTTTATGGTTACCATTTTGTCCCTCCTCGGAGGAAACGTCCTGATTGATAACACTGGCGAGGTAGAAAAGAGCTTCCCTCACTTTTTCCATTATGCACATCGGTACTTAGGGTTAAACGTAAATTACACAACATGTGGGAAACTCCACTTTTTCAATTTTACGAAAGTGTGTAGATATAGGCTGGTGAGCGGAGCCACTGAGGGGTCATCAGAAAAGGCACTCTCAGAGGAGCCACCCTCAGAAGAGGCCCCCTCACAGCAGAGACCCCCCTCCGAGGTGTCCCTAATGTGGAGCGATCCCTCACCAGGGAGTAACATCCATCATGGATCTACTAAGGTGGAGAATCCACCACATGGGAAAGAACTTAAGTGTATTCAGAATCACCAACAGAGGGGAGCCAAAAATAATTTGGCTATGAAAATGGGAGAGGCAGAACAGGGGGGAAACTTCCATCACATGATGAAGATCCCACCTATCTTAAAAGAAAGCAGAGGAGGAAAAAAAACGAAATTTACACATCGTCAGGCTGAAGATCCTCCATCTAGCGGAGATGCCTCCACAAATTCGAGCTCACACCTGGAGAGAATGTACCTTTATGAGGAGGCGAACAGTTTGGACTCACGCATCGGAGAAATTACCTCTGCTGAGAGTAGTACACTTGAAGGTGACGAAGATGTGGACGGGGAGAAGTCAAAACTTTTGGGTGCGCATGACAGTAATGGACGTGGAGGTACCCCTGCAGGTAATGGGGACGTATCAATCACTACACCGGACGAATCGAAATGTGGAGGGCGGCAAAAAAGAGAACAAAACATGTTAGACCCCCCTCCTGGGGAGGAAGAGCCCCTTAAAGAGACCTCTCGAAAGACATGTGATAGAACTGCTACCCATCCAAGGGGGGCCCTCCTCCCACGGGATCCGAACTACTGCAGAGAATACCAGTACGAGGAGCTTCTCCATGGAAACGACGCTGACTTGTTTCACCTAATCAACCAAGTGAACAATCTCAACATAAGCGTCATATGCGGGATTAGAAATGTGGGAAAAAGCTACCTCAGCAAAAGGATAAAAACGAGCAGCCTTGTGATTGATCTGGATGAATTCATCCTTCACGGCCCCATCCGCTTTGATCGGCTCACTATCGATGACTTCAGGTACTACGAATATGTCACCTTCGTTTCGATGCTGTATCTGGTCTACTTAATTTTTTCGGGGCAAAATGGTCACCACGACAGCGGAGCAAACCCGCTGCAAAGGGAACAGAGCGAACACAACGGGCATAACGAACAGAACGCTTTCCAAGGGAGCACCCACCCCTTGGCCGCCAACAGAGAAGCCCAATCCCTCTTCTATGAAAACCCCTTTTTCAGCCTTCAAGACGATGTGCACTTTTACAACAAAAAGGTGAATCGTCTTTATCACACGATGAAGGAAAGACACTTCCTCGACGAAGACCAAGTGGCTATCCAAAGCGTTACAATCGTCCTCGGTGGAGGAATCGTAGAATTCGAAAAATCTAGGCAACTTATGGACAAAGTAAAGAATCTACTTCTGATTAGGAGACCCCCAAACGAAATATACCATCTGTGTATGAACGATAAGGTAAAACCTCCATTAACTGGCAACCTGCAAGAAATAATTGACCGAAGGACTATCCTCTTTTCCAATTTAAATGCCTTTCACTTTGCCATTCCCTCGGAAGAGGACATAAACAGGTGCCTAAAGAATGTGAGCATGTCCAGGAATGAACTGATCGTCAGTAGTTTTTTAAACTTCTTCGACTACAAATTTTTTGTGAAGCCTACAATTAAGGATACTTATGCTAAGGTGGCCAGAACGGGGAAGGCCATACTCTCCTTGCGTCTCACCGAGTTTCTCTCATTCGACTATGCGTCCTTGGATGGGGCCTACGAGGTGGTTGAGCTGGTCGTGGATTGCTGGGGAAGCGGCGGGGATGAGGAAGAACGGAGTCAGGAGAAGGAGCGAAGTCGGGAGAAGGAACGGAGTCAGCAGAAAGAGCTTACTCAGGAGAAAGAGCCCACTCAGGAGAAACCGCAGAAGACGGATTTTCTCGAGCTAGCCATCTTCACAATCCGATCCTACACGGACAGACCAATCTGTGTTAAGTTCCCCAAGTGGGTTTTAAACCCCATCTTTTCACACCCCCCAAACGAGGGATCCCCCGAAAGACAGAAGAAAATTCCACACGGATACACCCCCACTGAGTTGTACAAATACAAAATCAACATCTTCGATGTTGATGTTAATTTTTTTAAAAAGGTAAAAAACTTCATGCCGCGGAAGAGGGAAAATATTTTCCTCATCATCTCAAGTTATCGGGAGAGGGTCCACAAAGGGAGAGTAGCAACCGATTTGCATAGACTAGACAAGTCGGAGGCCGATCTAATAAGGCTGACCTTTCCGCGCGCGACCCTTTCGGATCGGAAGACTCTCCATTTGGAAATAACTCAACATTACACGAAGAGGCTGGGGAATCCTCCAATTTCTCACGTTAGAGTTATTAGGAGAGGGCCATGTCACGATTTTCCACCTCACCAATTCGTTCATCAGCAGTGTTACGACATTTCAGCCTACACCTGCGAGCTGAATGACCCGATGGTCTTTCTGTGCAACGACGTTTCCCACGGGGGATGTCTGCAGCCGGGGTTGGCAGGGGAGAAGAAGGGTGGACGGCGACCCCACCCCGAGAACTACACACACAGCTTCTACCACCAAGGGGTGAAGGCCATCATTTCGTGTGTCCCTCGGTGAGTGACAGCGGCGAGTTGGATTTGCTGAAGTGTGTACCTCCTTTCGTGCGTCAATCGCGATTTTTCCAGGGGGACTTCCCTGCTCCTTTCCGTTGTTTTTGGTTTCCCGTACGGAGTGCGCCTGTGTTGATACGCACACATGCGTATGTACATACATATATATCTATATATGAATTTCTTCTTTTTTTCTTCTCCTCTTTTGGGGCACGCATCCCCCCTTTGGACAAACAAAAGGTGCTGTTTTTTAATTGTTACTTCACTGTGTTATTGTCCATTTAAGAAAAAAAAAAGGGTAAACTAAATAACAGAGCATACGCTCCTTCGCATGAATTAAAAGATTATACGGGGTGCAGTGTGGAGGGCATGTAAGTGTTACCTACAAAGAGTGACTAACCCAACGAGCGTTGCTCGTGGGCAAACAAAACAATGGCGTGCAGGAGAGCATGCTCTCAGATGGAGAAACACATGCGCGCACTTTCACCTCGTGAAGGGGCACTCAAAGTGCAAAGTTTAAAATAACAAGAAAAGGCACACTGGTACGTAAATGATGCGGGGTAGACGGGGGGCACAATTATACACACTAAGGGGGTTCATCACGCTGGGGCCACGAACGCCATAGGCAATGCTGCATTTAATGGGCGCACACCCGGACAAATGGGCACTCGTCCCTCTTCTTCGGCGGTTTCGGTTCTTCCGCTGCTTCGCCTATTCCGCTGCTTCGCCTATTCCGCTGCTTCGCCTATTCCGCTACTCCTTCTTCTCCCTCCTCTTTCACTTCTTGTACATCCCATTGCTCATTTCCTCAAAAACAAATGAGACAATTCGGCATAGTTCAATTCGTTAAAATTGGAAAGTATGTTGGAGAGGTACAATTTCTCCTGGCCGACTTTCTGCAGCGCGTCGTGATTTTCCTTGAGCGAAGTAAAGAGGACGTCGAAGAAGTTGCTGCTGCTCGGGGGTGCAGGAATGGAGGTGCCCGTCCCGGTGCCCCCTCCGGTTGCTTCGGTTGTTCTGCTGGTTGCTGCGCTGGTTGCTGCCGCGGTTTCGGACGAGTCAGCGCCTCCTCCGGTGCTCCCCGCCGCCCCTCCGAGCAACAACGCCCTGTTCACATCCAGGATGTCCTCCTCGGCATCCTCCAGAATGGAAAAATCTTTGCACTTCCTCTTGGCGTACTTGTTCAGAATCTTTAAACTTGTCCTCAAAATATTTTTACAGTCATAGATATGGAAATCCTTGAAAACATTCACAAGGAAGTGCAGATCGTTCTGTTGAAAATGAATTCCTTTCCCTGTCATTATTTCAAACAAGGAATCGAAAAATTTGACATAAAAATTGAGATCCCTTTCCTTTTCGATACACTTAATGTGAAACCAGAAATACATCCCGAAATTTTTGAGCTTCCACTTGGCTTGTACAATTCCGATGGCCTTCATTGTGTTAAGAAGGAACGCTTTTATTTCGAACCTGGTTGATAGGACTTTTTTCTTTTTTCCACTGACGGTTTTACTTACTTGCTTCATTACTACGTCAAGTGGCTGCACTTCCTTTTCCTTGTTCACCTCTTCGTTTGGCTTGTCTATGGCACTCCTCAGGGAGGACGCTGTGTATGATGGTCTTCTCTTATCATTCTTCCCTCGATGTTTACTCTCAGAAGCACCAATCCAGTTATTCATATGTTTGCAGCCAATAAAATGCCTCCTCGGTACCATAGTTCTTACCACTTTGCAGTGTTCTTCATTCACTTTTTTATATGGCCCCGTTAAGCCTCTCTGTCTGCTTGACGGATTTTTCAAGATGGCCATTCCGCAACCGCAGCAAACGCCGGATCCACTGCAACCAGCACAAACGCAGCCTCCAGCACAGCTGCAGCCGCTCCGTTTTTTTAGCGACCCTCCTCCTTTGCATGTGTGCACAGGGCAGTCCCTACCCATGATTCCACTGAAAGGTCCGCTAAAAGGTACGTTCACGTTCCCGCAGATCCCTCCGCTGGCGCCTCCGCAGACATCTCCACAGATCCCTCCGCTGAAGCTGGCTCTCCTAGTGTCGCCTCGGATTGGAACCGCGCTGCCTGGAACGCGGCAACCACTGGGAGGCAGCAGCATCCCCTGGAAGTGTGGACCCATGTCCCTGTCGAAACTCATGCCCATAAAGCTGCGACTTCTTCCCACGCGGTGGGGGCCTTCCCTAATCGCATCCACTACCGCATGGCAACCACCAAAGCAGCTTCTACTGAGATAGCGGCTCGAATTCAATCTCACGTTGGCATTCTCCACGCTGTTCATCACATGCGGATGTGTCATCGCTGGCACCTTGACGTCGCCCCCATTTACACTCGTTAGTTTCTTTTTATCCTCCACTTTGGGGTTATGAGTTAGGTTCCCTTCCGGCAGATGCGCGGCGTTGTTGGGGGGGCTCGGCGATGCTGTGTGTATCGGATGCGCTGCTTCGTGTATCGGATGAGCTGTTTCGTGTTGCAGATGCGACGCTTCGTGTTGCAGACGCGCCGCTTCGTGTTGCAGATGCGCTGGGTGTAGCTGATGCGCTGCCTCGTGTTTCGGATGCCCTGGATGCATCGGATGTGTACCACGCAACAGTGGCATTGTCTGCACGGACAACATGGGGGGCGCCTCCCGTGGGTCACTCAACACAGCCGTGCTACTCCTCAGTTTGTTCATTCTTACACTGAGGTGGTACATGCCGCCGTTCTGGCAACTTAGGCTTTTCAAATTTTCCGTGCGACTAACGTTGCGCAGATTGTTGCCTATTCCGTTCAAGGCCAATCTGTGCGTACACCCCCCTTTGCTGCATCTGCAGCTGTTGGCACTTCTCTGGTTGATCTCGTTCCTCACGCTGGTTTCGTTTTTCAGGCTGATCTCCTTTGTCACGGCTTCTCCATTTCGGGTCATTTCCTCGTTTCTCACCCCGTTTATGCCACTCCCACTACTTACGCTTCCGACAAACCTTTCCAAATCAGCCTCTCCTCTAATCAGGTTGGCGGTACTCCCCATGGAGGGGCTTCTCGCCCTGCCTTCCTGACACATCCCATGTGCACACCAGCCGCCATTCTTCAAATGAAAAACGTTAAGGCTATTTTTATTTCCACTCTTATGCGCACAATGGATATGGGGGGCATTTCCTCGAAGGAGCATCCTCGTATAATCCCCCTCTGCTCCAAAGTTTCTCTGTCCTCCGACTGTTGTGGTCATACTGAGCCCGTTAAACATATGGGGGAAATTATTCCTACTCATCACATGGTTGACTTGATTGGAGACGTAAGAAGGGTACACATGTGGGCGTAACGAAGTGGTGCTTTCATTTGGCAACTCCGACACGGGTGTATTCTTCCTCATACTTTGATTATTGTTTTCGTTTTCTTTTCCACTTAGCACAGATGCATAATCGTGGAGCCTCCCATCTGTCTGGTGTGTAATGTTGCCACTCGCGGGGGTCTTAAATGAGGATAAAAAACTATCGCACTGATCCTCCTTCCCTGTGCTCAATTCATTTTTGCTAATTAAGGAAGGCTCGCTAGCTCTTGTCAGTTTGGTGTGTCCAACTGGGTATAGATCTTTATAGTCACAAAATTTCGGCGCGTCTATTTTGGGCACACTCGACGCGGTACTTCCCATAGCCCAATCGGTTTTGCCCAAGCTACTGACGTCGCCGCTTCTGGCGCCATTTCCTGTGCCTCCTCCGTCGCTTATCCCCTCGGAACTTCTTCCGCTGCTGCTACCGCTCCTGTCGCTACTCCCCCCGTTGTCAACTTTGGTGGACTCTTGATCATCCAGCGCCAGGTGGTGAGAAGCACCCTCGTACTCTCCCTCCTCCGAAATGCGCAGCCCTTCCTTATCGTGGCCCTTCCCCTCGAGGGGGAAAGGACAGGAAACTTCCTCCGTTGTCGTTGAGATGGAATCTGTCGTGATCATGTCATACTTGGCTCGGTAAAAATCTTTGTTCTCCATCAGGTTACTCTTTCCAGTAATGTCTCCCATTTTTATTATGTACTTGTCTAACTGGTCTTTCTCATGTTCCTCTTTGTAGCAGTCATTTGGGTCTTCCTTGTATGGGTTCACGTCTACATTTGCTTCGTGTCCCTCTGTCATTTTTCTTTTCTTTTTTTTTTTTTTTTTTTTTTTTTTTTTTTTTTTTTTAATCGTTCAAACAGCATCAATGTGGTGATGGCAAAGGTCTACGCTTCCGTATGCAGTACTTCCTCTTAAAGCACCCTAGGGGGAGTGTGTCCACACACACGCGAGGGCATGGGTGCGTCTCCTAAATGTATGTACCCATGCATAGGAGCATCATGCGTGGGGAAGGGGTACAAGGCAAAAATGCAGCTTCAAAATGGGGTCTCAAAATCGATCGCCAAATGGAGCCTCGAAATGTAGCGCTAAATGCAGCACCAAATGGGAACAAAGATGTGGAGGGGAAATTTTACTTAGCAGGACCAAATGCCAATGGGTGGAGTGTTGGAAAAAAATTTAATTATCAGGTAAACAGATCGATATGTACAAATTCCGCTCAGCGGAAGAAAAGGAGAGCATCGTGAAATTGAAGTAGATGGAAGGTGCTACGCCGTGATGTGAACTTTTGGTCGATCCCCCAGCCCGGAATGGTGGATACATAAACAGAGGGGCAAAATGAAAACACAAATGTAATATATAAGCATGTGCGAATGGAAGACGAGACGTATGCCTACTTGTACGTGTGTGTGTTTATGCGGTCGTGCGGCATGACTCCCTGATGAGCGCAGGACTTCCTCCCCCCGTGCAAGAATGATGAGCGAATGAAACAAAGAAACTGCTACAATTAAACACAAAAACAAAGCTTCCAAAATGGCGTGGTGCCGCTTGTCCCCTTCTTTTGGTTCTCTCCTGTCTTGTGTTCGTCTCTCCTCCACATTTTAGGTGAATGCGTCACGGGGAGTAAAAAAAAAAAAAAAAAGAGGCGCGGAAGGAGTGAAAAAAGGAGACGACGTGAAATCTTTCGAGAAGACGACACGGCAAAATAACGCACCTATCAGGCGACAGAATCGCTCTAATCATAGCATGGGGAGCACTGCGTTACACGCTACACGACGTGCACACATAAGACATTGCCTCCTGGCATATATCATATGTGACCTCGCAGCTTTCGCACACAAAGCATACAAACCCACAGCAGCAGGCACGTTCGAGGTTATTTTTTTAGATTACTTCGCAACTGGGACTTGTCAGCTACGCATATGGTACACATGTAGGAGAAAGTAACGGTTAGAAACAAACAATGGGAGGAAAAAAGAAAAAAAATAAATAAATAAATAAAACGCCAAGGGAGGGAAAGCGAAATGGGGTAAAATGAGGGGAGGGGGTAACACTACGCATCACGGGTGTTATCTTCTAATAAGCACACTAATTTGATGCGATAAATGTAGGAAAAGGTAGTGTATACTTAAGAGTCACAACAAAATGGAGGAAGAAAAGGAAAAGGACTAAAACGAATTGGTGCAAAAAAAGGGGGTGGGTTCGGGTACAACTCCTTGTGGTGGAGTTCCCCTGACGTGATGATTGGGGGAGTGGGGACGCCAAGCACATCTTTTTCTTTCTTTTCCTCCTCATCAAAATGGATATCCTAGTAAATACGCCCTTGAGCTAGCAGAAGGCATATCCGCTATCTATACGGATGAAAATGTAGACGCGGATGTAGCCACGTAACGGCGATTTATCCTACACGAACGGGCCGGGGTATGTGCAGAACGACCCGTTGTAAGCGCGCGCAAATATGCAGATGGCAAAATGCAAAGATGTAGTTTTATATACTTATGCCCTCACCGCCGCGACAACGGGTGCGCATCCCTGCAAAGGTGCATACGGGGTACACTCGTAACCACGTTATTCCGCGGCACCCGGCTGTGGACAACGCAACTGAGGGGGTATACCTCGCCTACGGGCATTTTACCATATGCAGGTTGTATTCATATATAACATAGATATGCATAGCAGACGCGGTGGCTACCACTGCTGTGCTCAAGTGTCTACATCGACGTGGAACGCATAAAAAAAAAAATACAAACAACGCGTAGAAATGCACATATATATATGTATTATAGGTACGTATAAAAAGACGCGCCCACCTATACCCTACGAAGGATTCCTCCTGGGGGTCGTACGCGCAGTTTGACACGTAGCGCTACATATGCACGTGCCTTTCTCTGTACGGAGGGCAGATTTTTTTAATGGCTTTGTTTTTTTTTTTAAAAAAAAAAGATGGTCATACGTTTTTTCGCATTCTTTTCGCTTTTACAAATATTTTGCAGATTTCCAAAACTATAAAAAAATGTAAACATAAGAAGGCCAGTAAATCGCGAAGTTAAATGGGTCATACGGGGGCGCGGTACGCAAAGCTATGTATTACGGCTACGGGTATGTTATACTGCGCAATATACGTTTGCGGAATTTTTTTTGTTCTCCCTGGCCTCGCCTAGTTAAAATGGCGTATGGTTTCGCCGATTTCTCCTTCTGCCCCACGGGTCGTTCATGCATATGTTCTTTGCCTACGGCAAGCGCTTCCCTATTTCGGTCGCGTTATAATACCAGTGTCAGCGTAATGATACGTACGCATATATACATATATATATATGCATGTATATTTTACGTGCATATGTTACGCGCATATGTTACGTGTACAGTACATATGTACGTGATATATTATACATACTATGTTCTGCTTGGCCAACCCAACAGAAACGAGAATATGGCCTCTGCCAGTGGCCCCCTTTTTTAACAGCCATGCATATGCAATTAATCAACGCTCGATTACGTGGGTTGCGCTAATCCTCCGCGCATTTGCGGTCAGGCTTAACTGCGTCACTCTGTAAAAATGTAAAATAAAACCTTTATGGTTTGCAGATCAGCATAATTATACTATACGCGCACATGCCCAGCGGGATAAATCGACTCCTTCAATATTGACCCCAATAGGAAAAAAAAATGCTTCTCTTTTTTTCTTTGAAATATTTTTTCCCCTCCATTGCTCGTCCCTCCTCTCTTTTCTGCATGCTTCTTAATCCATCCCCATAAATGATAGCACAAAGGAGCAAGTGAGGGGTTCCCCCTTTATAGCATTTCGATGGCGCTTCATTTTTAAGAAAAAATTCCTCCCCAGTGTTTTGTTTTTCCTCCTTCTCCATGTGATGTTGTTATTTTGTCCTTCATATTAAACGGAACAGAGGGGAGGAGATGTTGGAAAGGAAAAAAAAAAAATAAAATAGAGGCCAACTTTCACGTCATGTAATTTAAAGTGTCATCTACAGAAAAGCATACAAATAAAGAAAGGAAAACCAATGTAGCGTGGAGAAATTTCCCTTTTTATTTCATTAGAAGGACAAAAAAAAAATGATCAGTTAGCATACCTTTACGCTCCGGGGGATACATCGTTCTGTTTTTTTTTTCTTTCGCGTGATTTAAAGTACGCGCATGAGATGTTGGTATTGTCATGTGCCTCCTCGGATGCACGTTTGGACGTACACAAGTACGCTGGTATGTAAACACACACGATGTCCCCATTGCCGCTTTCCCTTGTCTTGAGCGTTCCAACACGCTGCAAAAACGGTTTGGTCAAATTGAGAAGACCCTCCATTTGAAAGACACGCGCAACATATATGTCTAGGGGGCGAGCGCGTTAGTGGAAAAAAATGCCCCAACGAAACTTATTCGCAGCAACGATGGTATATGTGCCCCCCAAATGGCGTGCCGCAAAACAATTGTGTTACTATTTTCGTTCCCACGGTACCACCCCAAATTCACACCATCACGTTACAGCTCACATCTAGGTTAAAAGAAACTCACCTGAGACTCACCCTTACGTTCGATTTGCGCAATTTGGGAACCCCCCATCGGTATTTATCAGACGGGGGTGAATGGATGGATGATTTGATTCGATTCCTTCGCTCAAAAATATAGGCACTTGTTTAATTACGATTGAGCACCCAATGGGAATGCCAGTCAAGCGGTCGCTCACGGCACGGTTGACGCCTTTTATCTTTGGTCCCCTCCACGAACCGAAACTCCTCTTGCATATGCACTTGTTACAACATTCACATGGGTATAAAAGCTTCTAATCTGTGGAATGGCTTCTCATGGTTGACCACTTCGCTGTACGATTCTCTCGAGAGGCATCACCAAATCGGTGCAGCCATCTCTTAAGAGAAGCGACAAACAAAAAAAAAAAAAAAAGGATCTTCTCAGCTACCTCTTTACAGTTGAGGCAATTCTTCCCAACGAGGAAATGGTTAAGAATGCAAATTTGGAGGACACTCTTCTGTTTTCCTTCCTTACAGATACAAACGCGAAATAGTGTGTGGAAAAAAAAAAAAAAAAATTCGGTTCCTCATTTGAGCGATAAAGCGAGGTACACGTACAGGCAGAAGCGGACCTCCAAACGAGCCCAGCGGTCCGACATCCGCCGGGTACTCGGCTCACTCCTTCCAGTGGTGGTTGCACTTTATGCAGATGTAGAAAAGGGTGCTGGGCTCGTCCGCCGACCGGATTTGCAGGCTGTAGAAGTACGCCTCGTCATGCGTGCACTTGGGGCAGACGGCTGCAGGAGGGGAGAAGTGGGTTAAAAATGGGTACAAAAGGAATACATATGAGGGCACAGAAGTGGCTACAAAAGTGGGTGCACAATATGGCACTCGAAAGGATCACGAGATGAACCCAGTGGAGAAACAAACGATCTGGACGCTGGGCACGATCGCTCCTCTAGCCGCTGCCTACCCTGCGTCTTGGACATATTTTTATTGTTGACGTCAACGGCATCCAGGGGGATCGTTTTGTTATAATCTTTGCAATCGAATTTGTTAAAAATTTTGTTCTTTATTTTGTACTTGAAGTTACATGTCCTGCAGTAAAAGTACACGCCATTTTCGATGTGCACGAGGACGATGTTGTGGCAGTTGGGACAAAAGAAAGCCATGGCGATTGTTAAGAAAGGAGGGGAAGCGGGGGGGGCTTCTATTGGGGCTTCTTAAATGAGAGTGATATTTTTATCGGAGGATCAGCTCTTCGTCAAAATTGGACTCGCCTCTACTCCCCTTGTGCACAATCCATGGGGCGGTGAGTCATACAAGCTGCTCCATCCGCTCATGCGGGTTGTCTCCATCACTTTGCTATGCGGCACGCGCCCGCGTTTCAGATTCGGCAACTCGACATCCTAAAAAAAGAAGGCCTCTCGCGCTGGGGTAACATGTTTTCCCTCTCTTTTGTACGGCTTCGAAGAGGAAAACAATTCATAGAGAAAACACTTGTGGCTGGCCTCCTCCAATCATCTAGGGGGGGACCAACCTGGAGGGGGATATACTTTCCTCGTCCCACGCTTCTAAGTACCAAAAAGGACAATAAAAAAAGGGGGGGTAAGCATGGCTTCCTTTCTTTTTTTTTTTATTTAAAAATCTGAAATTTTATCTGACTCGGCATATTATTTTTATTTTATTTTTTTTTTTTTTAAATATTCACGCAGCGAGTGAGACGTTACCCCAACTTGGCAGCCCTTTCCCCGAAAGGAAAATTTTTTTCCTTTTAAAATGTTTTCCATTTTGCAGTGTAGTTATGAGCACTTTGGGAAGGCCCCTCTCTACATGCTGAGGTAGTAGCCTGCTTGAACCACTCGCCTTATATTACTGTGGGGCACAGTTGATGCTGTTTTTTTTTTTTTTTTTTTTTTTTTTTCATCCCCGGTGTAGAGACGTCGTGTTTGCTTCTCCGGTGTTGAGACGTCGTCTTGGCTTCTCCGGTGTTGAGACGTCGTGTTTGATTCTTCGGTTTGGATGGTGTACAAGCCTCTGTAGAGAAGAGCGCTTCCCCTGGTTAGCGGTTCCACCGTTTGTGGACTCTGTGGGGCTGCTCGCGGCGATACGAAGAGGCCCTTGTCGGTGTCCACTTGGCACGCTTCCCCCAGGAGATGCCCCCTAGCTCATGTAACATTTCTCTTCCAGCTCACTCCTACCCCCCGATGGAGCACCTGAAGAACATCTCGCCCATCGACGGGCGGTACAAACAGGCGTGCAGCGAAGTGTCGGCCTTCTTCTCCGAGTATGCGCTGATAAAGCATCGGATCATCGTAGAGGTGCGGTGGCTCCTATTCCTCAACGAGAAGGAGCTCTTCTTCGAGAAGCTAAGTGACCAATCAGTGGAGGAGCTGAACCAGATAGTCACAAACATAACGGACAGGGACATAGAACGAGTGAAAAAGATAGAGGAGGAGACCAATCATGATGTAAAAGCAGTAGAATATTTTGTAAAGGAAAAATTGAGCAAATCGAAAAGGGAAGACGTGGGAAAGATAAAACAGTATGTACATTACCTCTGCACCAGTGAGGACATCAACAATGTAGCTTATGCTATGTGTCTGAAGGGGTGCCTAAACGATGTAGTCATTCCATGCATAGAGAAAATAATGCTGAAGTTAAAGCAGCTAGCTGTGGAGTACTCCGACGTGGCACTCCTGTCGAGGACACATGGACAGCCTGCATCTTCTACCACCTTCGGAAAAGAAATGGCAAATTTTTACTCCAGGATATGCCACCACGTAGGAATCATTAGAAGAGTGAAAATCTGTGCAAAGTTTAATGGAGCTGTAGGCAACTTTAATGCACACAAAGTGGTCAGTAAAGAAACCGACTGGGTAGGAAGCATTAGAGTATTTCTCGAAAGATACTTCCATTTAACATACGGATTGTATTGCACACAGATACAGGACCATGATTATATATGTGAGCTGTGTGATGGTCTGGCTCGTGCAAACGGTACCCTCATTGACCTCTGTGTAGACGTCTGGTTATACATCTCTAATAATCTGCTAAAGCTTAAATTGAAAGAGAAGGAAGTTGGGAGCAGCACGATGCCACATAAGGTTAACCCGATTGATTTCGAAAATGCAGAGGGGAACCTACACATGGCCAATGCTTTCTTCAAATTGTTCAGTTCGAAATTGCCAGCCAGCAGATTACAGAGGGACCTCTCTGACTCCACTGTTTTGCGAAACATTGGAAGTTCGCTTGCCTATTGCCTCATTGCCTACAAATCGGTCTTAAAGGGACTTAACAAGATAGACATCGACAGGAAAAGCTTAGACCACGAACTTAATAATAACTGGTGCACCCTCGCAGAACCAATCCAGACTGTCATGAAGCGGTACAACTACTCTGATGCATATGAGGAGCTCAAGCAATTCACAAGAGGGAAAATAATCGACAAGGAGATTATGCAAGAATTTATTAAAACAAAATGCAACTTCCTCCCTAAGGAGGTTGTCCACCAATTGTTGGAGCTAACTCCTGCGACGTATACTGGATACGCAGAGTACTTGGCCAAGAATGTGGAGCGGCTATCATCGGGGGGGGAGCTCGAGTAGTCCGACTAGCCACGCGTCGGCGAGGGGCCTCTCTGAAGTGTCGCAACAATGTGACGGCGGCTAGCTACGCAGCAGCTTTGCCAATTTTCATGAAAACATAGGAGAGCCATTCCCTCCGTCCCTCTTCACGGGCGATCCCCCAGATGAGCCACCTGCGCAATATGCGCGATTTTATTTTTTTCCCCCTTCGGTGATAACATTGCAAGGGAGAGAACGTTCAGGGAAAACCACCTCTAGTGACTTCCCCCCCGAACGAGGTCGTAACAGCTAAGTTGAACGACTTTTTCTTTTTTTTTTTCACGTAGCTAAATTTAGCGGACACTGTCTAGTTTGCATCTTCTTTTGTGTGAATAACCATAAACATTTGAATCGTCGCAGGGTCGCTTAAAAAGGGGGAGGCATGTACAGCACACTTATGTTGCGCTTCGAGGCCGCCGCTGCTTTTCCTTTCGGGCGGCCCCGCTTTGCAATCCCCTGTGCCCCAACGGGAGGGAAAAGAGACAACACGATATGATGCATCCTTCGGGCGAAGAAAAGAAAAAAAAAAAAAAAGAATTAAAAACCAATAAAATACACTGGCGTGTGGGGCACCTTAGCCAAGGGGAGGAAAAAAAAAAAAAAATAGGTCGGTGGAAAAATGGGTAGCCAAGGGGACAGCCAAAGGAAGACGCACCAGGGGCTTCCGTTCAGATGTGCACCCTTAGCGAGGAACCCCTACGTACTGCCCCTCGACCCACACCCCTAATTACCACATCCAGAGCATGGCCAGTAGGACGAGTAAACCGGCAGAGAAAAACGAAGGAAGGGAAGACGAGTTCGACGAAATGCACCTGTTCCTAACTAAATGCCCCTCCTTACAGACGCACCTGATCCCGATGTTATCGATCCGTATGCATATTTGGTCTTGTCCGCACCCCCCGTTGTTCACGGAACAGGACTTTCTGTTTCTTCCCATTATATCGTCCATGTCCCTGGTGTCCCTTATTCCATTTTCTACTCGGTTGTTCCTCGGGCCACCGTAGGGGGGGACCCTGTCGTCCAGATTCTCTGCAGAGAGGGGGAGATAGCAAAGTGTTGCATTACCACCTGGAGTCGTCAGCACAGTGGGTGGTTCCTCCGATGTGGGGGCATGCATACACACGAAATGGAAGAGTGCCCAACAGGAGAAAAATTCCTCCCTTTTATCGAGCCCTATTTTCCCCTTCGTCGTACCCCCTGGGGGAATCGTCTCAACCCCCTCACACGGGTCTACATCGTATTCATCCTCTCCTCAGAAAAGGTGATTCTTACCTGAGTTAAGTCTTCTGTCCTCGTCACAGGCTTCCCTTCGATTCTCCTGGTTTCGGTTACAAGGGCAGCATTCCCTTGGGGTTCCCCTGTCTGGCGAATTCCTCTCTCCTTCCGGCAAGACATTGTCGTGTCTGTGTTCCGACACTTCGACATCTGTGTTTCTGCTTTCCAAATTTGTGTTTCCCCCTGTGTTTCCTGCTTCTTCGGGGGGGTTTTCTCCTTTATTCCCCAATGTTTCCCTGGATCCCTTTTCTCCCCTGTCACCCTCCTCTTTACTGTCTTCTTTCCTTTCTTTTGGATCCTTGTTGTTGTTTCCATTATTGGTGTTATTCTGTTCAATGCTTTTCATTTGCATTTGATCTTCCCTAGGCATCTGGGCTTGTTCGTGGTTATCTCCTTTTGCTTCTGTCGCGGTAGGACTGACAGTTCCAGCTGGCTTAACATTTGGTTCTACTTTTTTTTGATCTTTTTCAGCATCTTCTGTGGTGGTTTCTTTTGATTTAGAGCTCTCACTGGATGTGGAACTCTCTTTACCTCTCCCATGGTCGACTTCACTGTTTCTATTTTTTTCCTCTGGATTTTCAGTCGTGTTACCATGTTGCGCCGGAGTAGGTTCAGTGCTTAGCAAGTTCACCTGTGTATCCTCAGACTTCGCGTGTTGTCCTTCAGATTCCTGTGGCTGTGTCAGGGTAGGAATCACATCTTTTTGTTCGCTCGCCTTTCGTTCTGCTTGCTGTCCATCTTCTGCAGTAGCAGTTCCGACTGTTTGTACTGATTCAGAGGTATGGCCGGATGGAGAACTTTGGTTACCTGTCCCACTGTCGACTTCACTGTTTTTATCTTTTTTCTCTTGATCTTCACTCGTCTTACCAGGTTGCGCCTGATGACCGTCAGTGCTTAGAAAGTTCATTTGGGTATTTTCAGACTCTGCGGTCTGTCCTTCAGATTCCTCTGGTTTTTTCGGGGTAGGAATCACATCTTCCTCTCCCTTCGCTTTCTTTTCTGCTTGCTCTCCACGTTCTTCAGTAACTTTTCCGACTGCTTGTACTGATTCAGAGGCATCACCGGAGGGTGTAATCGGTCTACGTTCCACAAGGTCGCCTGTAATCCCTCCCCTCTCTTCTGCTTTAGCTCCCTCTGTCACTGTTGGGGTTGATTTGTGATTTTGCCTTTCCTTTTCCTGTTCCTGTAGTCGTTCTAGCTCCGCTATAATAGGATCTTCGACTTCCGCTGTCGTACCAAAGGACACGTCGATACGGGAATTCGATGTATTTTCCCCACTTTGTAGTTGTAAATTGCTGGTCATTCCAATTTTCTTTCTTCCCACTCTACCCGAGATGGGAGAAAGTTCGACATGGCTTATGTGATGGTCCTTGCGTTTTCCTTTCAACAATCTGTTGGTCTGTGTCGCCAGGTTAGCGTTCTGTTTTCTTGAGAGGGAAGCCTGGAGTGTGCATCCCGAGTGGTAACTCCAGAGAAGGATGAAGAGGAGAGCTAACACGATGCGTGAGATGGCCATCGTGCTGCCTATATCATCATAAGGGAAAAATGGGCAAAATAAGAGGTAAACTAAGCGGCAGATTAAGGGGCAAATTGAGGAGGTAAATTAAAGAGGCCAATTAATGTGACAAATTGAACAGGTACATTAACGCGGCAACTGAACGTGGCAGACTGAAGGGGCCAAATTAGCAACCTCAATCTCAGTCCCTCAAAGGCTCAAGAATCCCAGAGGGTTTGCGTTGTGCTCCCTGACGCTCTCCTAATTCCTGCCCAACTGCACTTTTTCTAACTTGTTCTAATTTGTTCGAAATATGTCGTTGCAAGAGTTTCCTAATGTTGTCGCTATTTTTTTCCTACATCAGTGCCATTTCTTTCTACTACTTTTTTCTTCCGCTATTTTTTTATCCTAACTAATTTCACAAAAAAAAAAAAAAAAAAGCACATAAGATATGCTATTTTATTTAACACACCTAGAGATGGGAAAGTACTTTTTTTTTTAACGTGCACATTCTGCAGAACTGTTCCACACTGCTACTGATCTAACGGGTAGAACAAATCTGACTCTTCCCCGCGGTGGGATTACTTGTGCACACCTGGATGTGCACCTATAGTTCTCCCATTTTGAGCCCGAGAAAAAAAAAAAAAAAAGTCCGAACATTGTAGGAGGTCGAAAATTGCTCTTTCTCTTTCCTCTCTTTCTTTTTTCTCTTTCTTCGCCCCGCGCAGCACAGCAACTAAGGTACCAAACTGATGTTGCGTTGTGCACCAAAATTTAAAAAACAGTGCGTCAGCCTTTGAAACATTGCGAAGATAATTCCAAAAATAACGCGAAAATAACGCGAAAATAACGCGAAAAAAATGCGAAAAAAGTGCGAAAAAAAATTGAAAAAAATGCGAAAAATAATCGCTTCAAAGTGATAAAAAAAATCTCTTAAAAATGTGCAAGAAATTTGCAAAAAAAAAAATTGCTTAAAAATTCGCTTAAAATGCGCGGAGGGAGGGGTAACATTTTCCTATTTTCTTATCTTCCCAGTTGCCCCTTCCTGACAACGAACCAATGCCACAACATCGCGGATAAGTTATACTCCCCGCGCCCCAGGGAGACCCCCCCCAGTGACGCGTTAAAAAGGGGAAAATAAATCCCAAGTATTCGGATCGCTAATCGTACCACCGTAACGGGGAGAAAAACCACCACAAGTTCTCCCCACGTCTCCACACTTCTCCCCACGCCTTCTCACTTTCCCCCTCCACAAACACACCTATGGTCGTGCCGCGGGAAAAACTAATTTATGGAAGCCAAAACAATAATCAGAAGAAGAAACCAACAGAAAAACGAATTCCAGGAGGACGATTTTGATGACTCCACACACTCGGTGTCAACCAACTTATACCCCGGTTTACAGGAACACTTCACTATCCCCTCCCCTAAATTTTCACATATTTTGTCATCTCCACATCCACCATTGTTTTCCGAACATGGATCTATAATTTCCTCAACGTCTTGTAAATTGTACCTGGTATCATCCTCTGTATCATCGTAATCTCCATCTTCTACCTCTGCATCGTGGTCACCCGTTTGGCCTCCGTTACCTGCCAATAGGGGAATAAAAAAAGGGAGTTTTTATTTTGGGGCTGCACTTGTTGAGGTTGCTCACGCGGTGCTCCCTCGTTTGCGGGTACTGTCTTGTCGTCATCCGTCCCTGGCCGTTTCGTCATCGCACCATCACCGCTTCATCAGCGCGTCATTTTTCCCCACCTGGAGGAGTATTCTGCGCGCCTGTCGTTGGCAAGTCGCTGGAATGAGTCGCTGGGTTCGCTGGGTCGTTTCCCCCACTGCCGCTGCTCTCGGCGGGCGAGTTGAGACCGCCACTTGCATCACCATTGGTGGCAGCAGTGGTGGATGTATCGGTGGCAGCCTCGGTGGTAGCATCAGTGGCAGCATTCGTGGTAGCATTCGTGGCGTCAGTCACATTGCCACTCCCACCGACGCCCTCCTGCCCCGCTTCATCCAAAATGCGGCCATGTCTCATACAGGCAACAATGCCCGCGAAGCCGCTACAGGTCCCACCCAAGTACAAGCTGAAAATAATCAGGAAGTCCAGAGCGGACAAGAAGTAGGCAACCTTCATGCTGCCAAATGGCGGGAAAAGTTGTGAGCAAAAACAATATGCGCATAAACACCCAAACGTGTTATCCCAATCTGTTCGGCACACAAAGCGAGTTCCAAAAAAAAAAAAAATAAAAAAAAAAAAAATATTTCACGCTCACACTCATCAAATTAAAATATTATCATTGTAAGTATCACAAAATGATCAGAACTTAGCGAAAGCAAAAAAGTGGAAGAACAATTTGGAAATATTCAGGGTGAGGGAAATTTGCCAAAAAAAAAAACTCTTCCAGTATTTTAAACATAATCAATGTTGCATTTCTGAACGTGGGTGATAAAAAAATAATAATAATAATACAATTTTTACGCCTGTTTTCGGATTTTCCGATCACTCAGGCCCTCTTTTCCTTTTATACATTTCTACGCAAAAAAATTTGTCTGATTCACGTGAAACAGAAACCATTACACATTAGCATTGGGGCACCCCTTCTTCCTTTTTCGCCTCCATCGAAAGAGTATTCTCTTCTGTGTTGTAACTATCCGGGGTACGTAAATGAGATGTACATTGGATACGCCTTCCTGGGGGCAGGGTGCAAGCACGCATGGGTGTGCATGTGTATCAATGTATGCCCATATGTATCTGCTTGCCCCCATGTGAGACGTAACAGGGGAGGAAGTTCCCCTTCATGGGATCCACTACCCCGCCGTAGACGAATAGGCATCATATGCTCACTCCACTGAAGGAAGAACAGTTCTTTTCCCCTCCCCCTGTTCACATGCACATAATATATTTTGTGCGTAATAATCCCTGTTGCGCATTTCCCCTCGTTAAAAAGTGTGAAGCTACAATTCGCGTTAAAAAAAAAAAAAAAAGGATAACACAATTTATATTAAAAATGGGGCAAATAGAGCTGCGCAGTGGTAAATTCCTCGTTTCCTCCCCTAATGGGTGACCTTCGATTGGGGCGACGTGCAGTTATTTCTCCCCAAACAGATTGGCATGTACCGATCGCGATCAACTCTCCTACGCCTAATGGCACTCATTAAATATCTCAAGCTGAAATTTCTTTGCCATGTTTGCAATTTTGCTACTACTCATATGCGCCGAAGCTTTTGGCAGTGTATCGGAAACCACAACAAATGGCAAAATCTGGACTGCCCACAAAATAACCGAATAAAGCATCTCGGGGGAGAGACCACCTTGTGAAACTTCGCCAACGTGCTGTTCAGGAGGGACAACCTCCACACAGACTGCTTACGTATATGTTGATGTACACATATGTGTCCTTCTGTTTCACCTCTCCAAGTTGCGTGTCCCGCGAATTTCAAAATTTAAAGTTCTCTTTTATGCTTCGAGGTCAACTTGTTCCTTTGGTCTGTCGAATGGGCATTGTGTAGCGCTGCGCGAAATAGGTGAAAATGCTGCAGTCCTATAGTGTCCATTTCTCGTATGCCATTTTGTAATTTTATTTCCCATGATTTCCCAACTGTCCGCGAATTATAAAAAAGAAGGTGAAAGGACCACCCACCCGCGGTTTACCACAACTGCGAGTTTTATTTGCTCACGCTTATGTCACCGGTATACTATTTTTTTCATTTTCCCTTGTTGTAGCTTCCTTCCAAACGGAAGTTTGCGTTCCCTTCCGCCAACCTCCCATGAGTAAAAAGCCTTTCTACATTCATTCGACAGCTAAAAAAAGGGGTAGACCTTTACTTCACAACACTGATCTTGGCAAATCCATTAACGTTGTAACGCTATCGAGTAGTAGCCAGAGGGGGGCTCATTTAATTCTGCAAAGCACGTCGTTTCTACCTAAACAGCCAATACAAAAAGGATAGAAAAGAATAAAGACATGCAAAAATATTATGAACAGTTCATAATTATTTCACCTTTTTGCATGACTTTTTTTTTTTTATTTTATTTTTTTTTATTTTTTATTGTTGCAATTTCGCTAGCATGTCGTACGCTTTGGGTCATGGCTCGTGTGGGCTGAAGAAAACAAATTAAATGGCGCAAAAGGGACAAAGTGACACAAGACAAAATCGTAAAATCAGGGTTACATCCCGAATGGGCAATATAAAA